TGCCTGAATATGCTTATTGCATACTTATGCCTATAAGATATATCCTTTCCCAGCACTCCAATGATCTGAAATACTTCCCAACTACTTACATTAAGTGATACTGTCCTAAAATGCTTTCAAAGACAGCCTCTCAATGCCACTGTGATCAGTGTTCGCACCCCTCATCAAAGAGAGGAGCAAAATTCAACTTCAAATGGGGTGCTTCTATGTAAATATCTATATATTTCAAGGAATTAAGTTTTGTGTAACAAATATTTGAGGGGATTGTTAGTATTAGACTTAATTTTTAGATAAACATATATAGTTGTAGGATATATAGAAAAGAACTATGTGATACGGTAGTTTGTGCTTTTCAAGGACTTTGTTCATTTCATCTAAATCATTGAAACTTACATTTGCAGAATTGTTCTTAGTACTCCCTTTTATTGTTTTGATGTCTGCAGGGTGTGTACTGATATCTTTTGTTTCAACTGTGATATTCGTAATCTGCATTTTCTCCCTATTTTTCTTTGTAAGTCTTGCTAAAGGCTCGTCAATTTTATTGATCCTTTAAATGAATCACTTGTTATTATGATTTTTCTTCCTTGTTTTTATACTGTCATTTTTGAGTTCTGCTGTTGTATTTATTGTTCTCTTCTGCTTGCTTTGAGTTTATTATATTCTTTTTCTATATTCTTCAAGTAGGAACCTAGATGACTGATTTGAGACTTTTTCTCTTTTACAATGTATTATAAAATTTTCTCAACCCTCTTTTAGCTACGTTCCACAAATTTTCTTATGTTGTATTTCACTTTCATTCAGCTTAATGTATTTTTAAAATTCCGTTCAGAATTTCTCTTTGACTCACAGACTACTTAGTAGCATGTTTGTTTGGTTTTTTAAGGTTTGAAGACTTTCCTATGATCTTCCTGTTATGGATTCCTAGTTTGATTCCATGTGGTCAGAAAAGACACTGTGTGATTTATTCTAAATTTGTTAATATTTGTTTTATGTCTCAGGATACGATCTGTTTTGGTACACTTTTCTCAAATCCTTGGAAAGAATGTATTCTGTTGTTACTGGATGGAATGGTCTATGTATGTGGATTGATGCTGATTGGTTAGATCATTGGATGATGGTGTGTTTGATTTTTTTAATTTTTTTCTGATTTTCTGTCTACCAGTTGTAGAAAGACAGGTGTATAAGTCAGCACTGTCATTGTGGAGTTGTCTGTTTCTCCCTTCAGTTCTGTCCATTTCTCTTTCACATTTTTTTTGAAGCTTTGTTTTTTGGGCATACATATTCAGGATTACTATGTCCTCTGGATGGATTGATTCTGTCACTTCCTGGGATTGATTCTCATCTCTTCTTGGGACTCTGATCATAAGAATGTTCAATCTTTTGCTATAGTCTTACATGTCTTTAAAGCTCAGCTTATTTATTTCAGTATTTTTTCTTCCTGTTGTTCCCATTGAGTAATTTTTATTGTTCTGTCTTCAAGTTCACTGATTGTTTCCTCTGTTCTCTTCATGTCACTGTTAAGCCTGCCCAGTGAGGTATAATTTTGATTATTGTATTTTCAGTTATAAAAATTCTGGTTGGTTCTACCTTTACATCTTCTATTTATTTGATGAGACTTTCTGTTTTCCTGATAAGGCTTTCTATTTTTTATTTGTTTCGATCCTGATTATAATTGCTGGCTGAACTATTTTTTTTTTTTTTTTTTTTACTAGAGCTGTTTTCAAACTTTTGACAGACAATTCTAATATCTTTGACTCCTTGGTGTTGGCATTTTTATTGGTTATTTCCTTACAATCAATTTGACATCTCCCAGATACTTCATATAAAAAGTGATTTTCTACTGAAAATTGAACATTTTATTAGTATTTAGGAAGCGGGAAAAAGAAAGTAGGACTACTGTATCTTTCCAGAAGTGAAGTCCATAATTTTGAATATTATTTAAAATAAAATTTCTATCTTTATTATATTTTCTCTATAAGAAGAAATAATCATCATAATAAAGTTGTTTATCAGAAATAACTGTAAATTTATATAACACTCAGATTCAATAAAATTGTGATTTAAATACATATGCAAATTATTTTTAAGTTACATTCATCAATCCATTATTCCCACATATGGAACTAGAAAAGTTTTCTTGGGAGTAGACTTACACTTTCTTCACACACATAAAGCATTGCTTTTTAACCAGCCTTCTGGCTATTTCATGTCTCCATTTGTCTTCTGTTTTCTTTTTCCAATGTTCTCAATAAATACAGATTCATATGTGCATCCATATGTATGTATTTATTATGGATATATAATTTTTTCTATAACAAAGTAATAACACTAATATAACTTCATCATTTTATTCTATTCTTAATTTCACATCAAGTTTATTAACTAAAATCTTAGAATAAATGTGATTTGTGCTTGGCAAACTTTATACTGTTTTATTTTACTCTTTCTTTTTAAAAGATTGGTACAATTGTATCAACTTCATCAAATGTTCTTGGGGTTGTACAATTTATTTTAAGAAAAGACAAATTCTAATTTATGGCATTTTAAAATTTCAATGTCGATGTTTAGAAAGGATGCATATTGTGTCTTTGAAACTTTTAAAAGGAGCATAACTACTCAAATCAGATATTTTTAGTTAAGTTGTGATTTACGGAGAAATCTTGGGATTAATTTTCATAGCCATTTCTGTGATTTTTCACATCTTTGTTTTGTGTTATATACCACTTATTTATATGCAAGCATAATACTAGGAGTATGATTATTAAATTAAAATAGAGATGGTATGATTCAACTAACTATGGTGGGCTAGAATATTAAGAGTTATCCATATTCTTTCCTAAGTAATTGTCTTTGTCTATGTGGTGATCTTTTCTTCTGATTCTGAATACATTGCTACTTTATTTTTAAAATTCAATTATATTATCTGTAGCATTTCTCATGTTAAAGTGCTGTGTTATCCTGCATGAGAAATGGTAGTTTTCATATTCCTAGTGGGAATTCTTGCTCTTTTGAATCCGCATCTGTGTTTTAAAATCTCAGATCTGGAAGGAATCCCAGAAACTATTTTACGCCTAACTTATATGTGAGTATAATAACTCTATGCCACACCAAGCTCTACCCACTAGATTTTGTATATTTTTAAAAAGAAATAGTGAAAGTATCTCCTCATGTAAAAATGACAATGGCTAGATAATATGCTATGCAGAACTGTCATGGCCATTGACACAAATTTTAAAGAAAATTTACAAACCAATGTTATGATTTTCATATATTTAAAATTCCTTTCATCAGTTTGTGTTGCTGATACACATTTCTTAGCTTTAATATAAAGTGTGAACATATTACCAATAATGTTTTGCCCCTCTGCTCCTTTCAAAGGCTTCCTGAATAGATTAAAAGAGTAATAATAGCTAATATAAAATTGTCTCATCTTCATTTATAGGATTGGTTCCATTGAATATCAGTACTCAGCTCCATAAACAATCATAATCATGCTTAAACCTAAATAAGTTTATTTCACATAATAAATGTTTCCACATTAAGCATTAATAGGCCTGAAACAATTACTTGTTAGATCCAAGATGAATTGCAAACTTAGCAGGTGTTCAAGGCCCTACTTGAAATGTGCACTTCCTTTTTATCTCTCATTCTTCTGTATTCTTATGGAAGTATCCAGAGTTCTTAACCAGGCTATGCATTATGATAGCTACATGACTATATGCAATTTGTTTTTTAGTCTAAAATGCTCCTTGTGTGCATGGTAATCTCAACTTGGAACATGTCTTCCACAAAGCCTTTGCCGGCCAGTTCTTTCTCTCTGCAACTGAAGCAGCTTCCTTTTGCCCACACTATACCTAACTCATAGTGACTTTCAACATGGTACCTGGAACTCTTCATTGCCCATATGTGATTACATTACTGAATTTTTAGAAGTCAGAACTTATTGTCACATGTTTCCTTTTTCTTCTTTTTAAAAATATATTCCAAAGCTAAGGGCTTTGCACAGTCTGTGGTGTTTGCTAGATGCTTGTGAATGTTGGGTTTGTTCTGCATTACATAGCTACAAGTTGAGAAAAGGATTTTTTAGTCCTTTACACTTCTCAGTAGGACTTTCAAGAAATCCAGGGAGACCTAAACCACTTTATTATTTGCATCCAGAATTCTGAATTTAAAAAGTAAAGGAACAAAAATATCTTTTTGTTCAATCCAATTACTTAATTTGTTATTATATATTGATAATCTTTCTAGTTTTATCTTTGGAAATTCTTTCAAAAGTCTTAATTAGGAACTTTGGTTCCACAGTGCCCTCCTCATCCCATGACTTTCTTGATTGGGCCACCTCCTTAGTTGTAATCACCTGTATCTTGAGCAATTCACTCCCAGTAGTAGCATGACATAACAAAACTGGAAAAGAATACTGGTCTTTGTAATAGGTTATATCATGGACAGTAGAACACTTGAATACCGGATGGCTGCTCCAGAAATGCTCGGTTAGGGAAATAGAGTAGAATATAGTTGTTCTGTATCTGCAGGGGAAAAGAAAGGCCAAGATAAATATTTTTCCTTACTTAGACATAGCAATAATACAATTTAAAAGCTTCTCACTTTCAATCCTTAAGTTGAAGAAAAAGACTCATCATTTTATTATTTCATTTATTAAACTGCAAAATATATTTTACCAAAATTTATTACTGAGACAAATTTCCTTATTACCCTTGACCTTTTGTAATTCTCTTTTAAAATTTGTATTTGATCAAAGTTATAGTTACTTATCCAAAAGCAAACACTTTTATTTCTTGAATCTATTTTTCTATTATCTTAATAATTGATTTTTAGGCAAGGCCCTAATGTTCTGATTTATTCTTTCTAAAAAGGTATCAGTATTACTAAAGATTAGCCATTGTTTATTCCACTTAATAAATTTTTGTTAAATTGCACTAAAATGAGTTTCTATGTAAATAATTAACCTAATGAAAATTTTCCTTTTCACCTGAAAACAGAATGATATTGAAGCACTTGATGATGTCCTTACATCCATATTCAAACATGAGATACCATATTATGAGTTCCAATCTCTTCAAACTGAAATTCACTCTCAAAAAAAAGGTGAGTATTTTCCAGCTGCATCAATTATTCTTTATATAACATTCCATTCTATATAACTCTTTAGTAAATGTTATAGCCCAAAATATAGGTAGCTGCACTGCTGATGAGATGATTTAGACAACTCCTGACTCCTGGTGAAAAGGTACATTAGTACAAACTTCTGAATGTTCATTTTTTTTTTTAATCCAAGCCCCTAAAAATGCACATAACTTTTGCAATTAGCAAGCCTACTTCTTGACTTTTATTCTAAGGAAATGTTTGGGCAACTACTTTTATGATAGAAATTGTTCATGATATTATTGTTTATAGTAACCAAAAAGTGGACATAATATTACAAAGATAAGTGATTATATATATTTTCATATACCTATTAATGCAACCATTAGAAGTTAATATTATGATAAATGTATTTGCTTTCCAGGGTGATGTTTTGATGTATACTTAAGTGAATTAGAAGCAGGTTATGTAGCAGAGAGAGAGACAGTGTGATCATCTGTGTAAAAAAGTACATGTACATTTAACAGCATATAGGTTTTATATATATAAATTGATGGTCCGGATGGATTTGCAGCTAGTGTTCACAGTAGTTATGTTTGGGTTATACAATTTCAAATATTACATCTTGTTTCATTTTATTGAATCTGTATTTTCTACAACTATGTATTATATATGTGGTTAAAAATACAAATATCAAGAAAAGTATATATAGGAGCTATACATGAAAAATTATATTTCCAAATGTCATCGTGAAATCAGTAGTATATTTTAGAATTTTTTCTGTTCCTGCAGTTTGTTGACATACTGTTTCTAACTCATTGATATGCCAACTATGTGTGAAACTCTAAGGTAGAGCTGTAATGGTGAATATGACAGATATGAAGCTAAAGAATATGAGCAGTTAATGTTGATATATTAAAAACTAATGAACAAAGTTTTATTTTCTGTAGGGTTTCTGTGCTATTTAAAGCAATTTTTTCATCAGCCTGGCAGGACTCAAGACAGAAATAAGAAAAGAGTAGGAGTCCTAAGGCACAGCTGCTTGTGATTCACCTAGATATGTGAGAAACTGTATAATGGTGAGGTTCTGTTAAGGGGTAAAGTCAATGGTATGCTAGCTGTAAATAAGTACTCTTGTGAGATTAGTGACATTTTATTTTTGTTTCCAATATATATTTTAACAATATGTAATTCACTTACAAAATTAAATACTAGATGAGAATAGAAAAGGGACGTGATATGATTCTTTACTTACAACACATAATATTATTGGAGAAAAATAATATACAGGTATTTATAGAAAGAATCAATGAGATAAACTTTGTGGTAGTGATTATATTAACAATAACATTTTAGGTAAAGGGTACATTATTTTTTAGGGTTTGCTTCAAAAAGGAAGAGGGATTTTTACCTAGGTCTTAAATGATTATGGTTGCCAAAAGAATGGAAATAATCTTCCAAATATAGATAATTGATTCTGTAAATTTTGGTGCATCTATTAATACAACCATCTGAAATTAATGTTACTGTAAATGTATTTCCAGCCTTGAATGATATTTCAATGTATACCTAATTGAATAAAAAGCAGTCTAGGTAACAGTTTAGTTTTATTTGGAAGTTATTTCAAAAGTCTTAATTAGGACTTTTGTTCCACAACCCACTCCTCACCTTATGGCTTTGTTAATTGACCCATCTCCTTAGCTATAATCGTTTGTGTCTTGAGCCATTTGAACCTAGTCATAGCCTTCATTCAAGCTAGGGAACCAATAAGGACAGAGAAAGGGAAAAGAAATTCTAGGCAAGAGAAAGTGCATACAATGGTGTGAAGATGGAATTATGACACAATAAAAAAGCTGAGACAATTTTGGTCCCTTACTTTTGAGATGAAGAACTCTGGATGGGTTACATCAGAGCCCCTAAAAACGTGAATCTGATTCAATAGGGCTGGGGAACATTCTAAGTATCTGCCTTTCTAAGGAGATTGCAGGTGAAGCTGATGCTCCTCCACCTCAGACCTATCAGGACTTCAGAGCAACTGTTCTCAAACTTAGCTGCATATTGTAATCACCTGTGTGGCTTTTAAACTTCCTATGCCCAAGTGATACACTATACCAATTTATTAACCTGAGAGTAGGTCCCAGCCATCATTAGTTTTTAAGCTTCCCAGGTGATTTCAATGGGCAGTCAAATTTACTAACCCATAATTACTTCAGTGTACTACAGACCAGCAAAATCATCTTTATATTGAATTTTAGCACAGAAAAGATTACCCTCTCTTTATAAAGATAGTAGTATATGAAAGTTTTTGAACCATCACTAGAATTTAATGATAATGTTTTATCTGAAAAAAATTCCAAAATTAAAAAAAAAATTAAAGCTAAAAATGAAAAGTTGATATAATCCAGATAACTCATTCAGAATCATTATTGCTGGGTATTATTGTGCAACAGATGTTATTAAACCTATATATAACAGAGCCAAAGCATCTCCATAACATTAAGCTCTAATTTCTAATTAATATGTAATAAGAATATGCAATAAAGATATGAATATGGCTGAGCTAAGGTTTTACTTGCCTCCTTGACCCTAGTCTTGGATCAATGCCCGCTTCAGAATATCTAGTATTTAATACTATGCACTTGTGTTTCATAATGTTCAAGTTGAATTGCTAGTATGGTTTAAGTTACCTTTATACATATATTAATTAAGGGAATTGGAGAGAGAAATGGTAAGTTGTTGAAGAAACTACTGGAGGTTTTCTGAGAGGCAGATTCAGCAAACCATGAGTCAGGTGTAACCCCAGGTATCTATCACTGAGGACAGGTCTCTAATTATTTGATGAAATATTTTATTTACTATTATTAAACAGTTATTTATTTCTGTATATTTTAGCTGAAGTAAATGGGAAGTTGGGTCACTCTGAGAGAACATAATCATAAGGAATTGAGAAAGTTTACATTGAGTATTGACCTACCCTAAAGATTTGTCATGGTATACCTGCAGATACCTATGGTTTTTTTAAATTATGGAGTGAAATGCTATAGCAACCAAAAATCTTATTATTGCCCCATCCTCTCTTTATTTTGGTAAATTCTGGGTTTAGTTTCCTGCCACTTCATTTATAATAAGTAAAATATCCTTCCATGTCATTATGTCTCAGTCATTTTTTATTCCTTTCTAGACAATAAACTCCCTTATTTAACATGCTTTCCTGCATTGTAGGAGTGGGTGGAAATAAGATGGAAAGTATACAACAAATAAAATCTGCTTTAATGTTCTCTTACCTTGGAATGCTTCATTATTGATTTGAAATTAGTGCTTTCCATTGACAAGAATTTTTCATGCAAAGAAGTTTTCTCTAGGAGTAGAATGTTACCAGGTTTCTAACTAAACTTGACATGCTAATATAATACAGGACTTCCGAACACGCAAGTCATAGAACTAATTCATGAACAACTTTCTAGTGTGTGAATCATCAGCAACTGTGAAGTCAATATAAAAGATTGTGATAGGCATTTTTTTGCTGATGTATATAGTACTTGAATAGAAAATATCAGAGTGTGTCACTTGAAGTAAGAGTATTATTTTAAACAACTTCTGTTTTGGTTGCAGATTTATGTGTAAACACACATGCTATGAGCTGTCATTTAAAAAATTTGAATGCCACTGACTTGGTGTGACAGTGAAGCAAAACAGCACACGTAGACAAACACAATTGCTTTAGCCCTTCTGTAATTCTCACCTATTCTGAGTTTCAATTCTGCTGCAGAGTCTCGTAAATCTCACTGCAGCAGATCCAAGTGTTTTCATAACTTCTTTTCAGAGCCCTTCCAAGGCCTGGATAATGCAGATAATCTCTTGTCATGGACAGGAAAAAATATATAGTTTAGCTTGTTTCTATTTTTATTTTTTACAGTCTATGCATTTAACAAAATTTCGCTTTGTACCTCATAAATTTTTACAAAAAGAGCTTGTTTTTAAAGGGGCCACAGTTGCCAGTTCAATTATCATAAATGGCAATTAGTTTAGGAAAAATTAAACTAGGTTATTTTGCCCAGAATATCTACCTTCACTTAGAACTGTCTCAGTAGAACCCATGCCACTTTATAGAAAGCATGTCAAAGCCTATATTCATTTACAATTGGTAGCAGTATTTTATTCTGAAAGAGGACAGCAGATAATCACCCAGGACTGTGAAAGTATTAACTCAGAATATTATCTCTGAATATGTCTTTGAAATATGGAGCATGTAACTGGATATTCAATACATAATGTGGTGGTAACTGTAGCTCTAAGATTTGTCTAGGACTGGTAATATCTTTAGGGTCACAGAAAATAGATCATTTGCAGGCACGGTAGCTCAGCCTGTAATCCCAACACTGGGAGGCTGAGGCGGGCAGATCACAAGGTCAGGAATTTGAAACTAACCTGGCCAACATGGTAAAACTGTCTCTACTAAAAATACAAAAAATAGCTAGATGTGGTGGCGCACACCTGTAATTCCAGCCACTAGGGAGGCTGAGACGGGACAATCATTTGAACCTGGGAGGCGGAGATTGAAGTGAGCCCAGATCACGCCACTGCACTCCAGCCTGGTAACGGAGTGAGGGTCAGAGTGAGGGACAGAGTGAGGCTCAGAGTGAGGGACAGAGTGAGGGTCAGAGTGAGGGACAGAGTGAGGGTCAGAGTGAGGGTCACCCTGTTACCAGGCTGGAGTGCAGTGGCGTGATCTGGGCTCACTTCAATCTCCGCCTCCCAGGTTCAAATGATTGTCCTGTCTCAGCCTCCCTAGTAGCTGGAATTACAGGAAAAATAAAAATAAAAAATAAATAAAAATAAAAATAAAATATAAAAACTCAAAAAAAAAATCACTTGCTAACTCAGTGGAGGAGAACTAAATGTCCATTGGATTGTCTTTTTTACGTCATTAAATAATTTAACATGCAGACAAATATAGAGAATAATATAAAGAACACCCTGTAGCTTGGTCAGATCTTAACATT